GATACTTGCAAGGGAGCTAGCAGAAGGTGGATTGCAAGGCATAATGCTGTTAATAGGGCCTTTGTAAAAGCCCTAGGCAGCCGGCCTGACCTCGAGGTCGAGATTGAACCCCTAGCCCAGCAAGACTCCTCCCTCCGGGCTGACTTTGCAGTCACTATTGGAAATAGCCGCTACTTCTATGATATCCAAATCGTAGCTATCTCCAAGGACTCTGCAAAGGAGGACCCCTATAGCACCTTGAAGGAAGCTGCTAGTGAGAAAAGGCGGAAATATCAGTCTCTGGGAGCCTTCTTCCACCCTCTTATCTTCTCAGCAGGCGGCCTTATGGATCAGGAGACCTCACAGACCTACAAGAAGCTCCAAGAGCTCTTAGGTCCCTTTGCAGCCTCACAGCTAGACTCGACTATTGGCCTTACCTTGACCAAGACTAGGGCTATCTCAGCTGCCTCTATAGCTCGAGATCTACCTAGGAGAACGCACTCCTAGATACCGACCTATCTTTCTTTCTAACCTATCTTCCTTCTTAATCTATCTCTTTTCCCTATTTTTCCTTTACCTCTATCTCTCTTCTATCTCTATCTCTTTCTAATCTTTATATCTTTCTTATCTCTATCTCTTTCTTATTTCTTATTTCTATCCCTTTCCTATTTCTATCTCTTTCTTATTTCTATCCCTTTCCTATCTCTATCTCTTTCCTATTTATATCTTACCTATATTCCTATCTATCCTTCTTATATTTATATCTCTTTTATCTCTTTTTATCTCTTTATCTCTTTTCCTTATTATCTTCTTATTCTTCTTTTTATCTCCTTTATTTATCTCTTTTTTATAATCTTTATAAATCCATATATAAATAGCACCTGAGCAAGATAGCTTTCCATAGCCTAATATAACCCTATCCCAACCCTAACCGCCCGGGTGGTCGGCGTTGTGGTGTATGCGGCAAGGCCGGGCATAATGCAAGGACCTGTCGGATAGTGATTGAGACCCCAGGAGAAGAGTATAGCGAGTAGTTTTAATTGATTAGATGGTTTATGGCGGTTTTAAAGTGATTTAAAGTCAAGAGGTTGAGATTTTTGTGACACTCGCTTATCTGTGACACCCGCTTATCAACCACGTTATCACTTATTTATATTAAGCTTATAAAGTATACTGTTTAGTAAAACAAGGTATAAAGACAATTAAATTTAATACTACATATTTAATAATTAAGTTTATTTACTTCTTTATTTATTATAGGCGTTATAGATCAAATATACTTTAATACAGCAGTAGTTGGGCGCAGTCTATTGAGTTCTAGCCTTAGCCACAAGGACCAGTTAAGAATTCAGATCAGGTTAGGCACAGAATGAGACCGAATAACAGACCATTTGTTACGGTTCTGGCGATTGCGTCGGCTGACACCCCAGAGGAGGAAATATTTATTAAGGATTGTCTAGGTGGAGTTGTTAATGTCAACGACCTTCCTCTATCCTCCAGCTGGGTCCGTTGAAAATGAATAACGACCACATATATCCTCTAAGTGAACAATATAAGGAAGAGGATTCAATACAGAGATGTGCATCGGCGATAGCTCATTATGCAATAACTCTGAAATGGGTGACAGAGGTCCATATATCCTTTCGGCTAAACAAATCTCAGCCCATGATATCTTAGTTATGAGGCCTAGTTAACTTAGTTTCGAAACGCTTCACCCGCTCCCCAACGCTTGCTGAAGCCTCCCGTATGGTGCTCTATCAAGGCTGACGATTTGTGGCTGGTAGGCGCCTTGATTTATCTACAGTACCAGTGATCTAGACCTTGAGGGGGAGGCATGCATCACACATGTTGCTGCCACCCATGATTTTGGACCCTTGTGAAAAAGTAAGACAGAAGTCAGCTGCAGCAATGTGGCGTGAACTTAGGCATTGTGGCTAGCAAACGGACTTCCAGCTGGCGCCCACTATTAGACGCCAAATCAAGCATGGGAGGATCATAGGCAACGGCACGGTGATCAGACATATGCTACAAAGCTGACAATTTTGGGTACTTACAGTTTATTCTCCACGATAATATGCTCTTTGTCAAGTTTAGGGCGGGGGCTCTGCGATACATGAATCTACCTTTTAAGCAGATATTTTGTCCGAATTTGGCCATTCAATTGGCCTGTAAGCAGCTTTTCGCCGAGAAACGCAAGTGTTTTAGGTATCCAAAAAATCAACAGGCTTAAAGTCGCAAGAGCCGCTTGTACAAGTACACAGTTCTCCTATTTCCGCAATAGCACTATGCGGGGTACGCTCAGACTTTTGAAGAGTGTTCTGAAAGGGGCAGTTCTTCATACATACAACTGTATAAACTTCAGGGTAAGAAAGAGGCGTGAAGTGCGAGCCAAGACGGTGCCGTCCCGGCTCGGAAGTTTCCCCGAATGCGATCGACGATCCTGAACATAGCCCGATCGATTCAGCGTGCAAGCAAACGACTACGCAGACAATGCTGGGAAATTTTCGAAGAAGGTTGATGCTGCGCTCCCATACATTCACACTCGGTTGATCTATAGTAGCTTATCACAGAGAGAAGCTAGCATGCTAGCACAAATTAGGATAGGTATGGCCAGACTAAATGAGTACCTCTTTCGGATTAGCGTAGCATCATCACATCAATGCGACAACGCCGGCTCTTTCGTGGCGTCTACCTCATACCCGGGCATAACAAGCCCCAACTTTGCGGTACCAGTTAATATAGTTGTTGCAATAACTCATGTTTTCTTGCATATAACGGCATCTCGTATATTTACCAGCATTCTCAACTCTCGAAGGAAGACACTGAGGTAGTATCCGGGTCATAGCGCATCTCCGCACGTATTCACGACCTTGAAACGTTTATCATCAATTGCTATGTTCTACAAGCAGGCGTCCGTTAAAAAGTTGTAATCCAGGACTGATAAGAAACCTATGATGGTAGTTGCTTGCGTAGTGTCCACCTATCCATCCGGCCGACCCTTTCAGCAGGATTCTTTGTTCAGCTCTTCTCATGTTGCTCTTGCGCATGTGAAACCACGCAGCAAGTGGCGTTGCGCCACCAGGACGCTTGCATAGTTTCTCAGGAAGATTTTGCCCGGCTATAGCTTGGAGGCCTCCTTCATCTATTGGTCTTCACAATTGCTTCGATGATAGAAAGATCTAAAGTCAAGATAAATTAGACAAAAGTACATAGGGTGAGGCACTGTAATATATTTAATTATATGCATCGGGAATCAAAGCGAAAGAAACCATGGGGCCAAGAGAGTCCAGGTATCGCCCGATCATCTTTCTTGGCACTTATTATGAGGGTTAGAATTGGTCTTCCGAAAGAGGCTTGGTACCTTGTCGCGGGGTGGTGCAATGCTACCAAATGCCAGAACAGGCCATATAAAGTTTTGATTGGCATTTATTTATCCTTTTGCACGGGAAGTTGTCAAACACATGCGACAATCTTTTAGCCCTCCAAGATATTAACAATGTCAGGGTACTCCATTTCTTTTACTAAGTTAGACTTATCCGGCGCTGTACATGCCTTCATTATCCTACCTGGGCATCGGCTCCTGGATAACCAGTCGTGCTATTGGTTTTGAATGCATAAGCACTACATTTTTTGCTCTAGCTTTAAGTCTGCTAACGGTGGTAAGAAGTCTGCGCAAGTGTTACTGCACGTCAGGTGGCTTTATGCCTCAGCTATGCGATGTGTCGAAGTCTCCGTGCTTACGCTAGGAAACGGGCTTTTGTGGCTGCAGCCGGTCAAGCTGACCTTCTGCCAGAGTCTGCATTGAAATCGAACACGGCAATGGATCGAGGTTGTTTTCTCTTTCTTCCAATAGCCCCGGAAATTGCCCAAACTTACTGAACAACTTTGTGTTAGCTAATTAATAATCGCCATGTAACACATAACGTACATGATAAGCGAAACCAACGGATAAGCGAAACCAACAGCATACTGTGCAGCAAAAAATAGCTTACCCTATAATATTTTATAATTTGAATAAAATAGCTAAAATTTTAGAAAAATTATTTTTTAAATTAGTATAGTTAATTATACTTAGAAGTATTTTTTATGGAATTTTAATTAATTTGATTTATATAGAAAACCTTGAAATATAGTGTATTTTACAGTGTAAATAGACTTTAAAGTTTATAGCTATATAAGAGTTTTTTAAAAATCCAAAAAAATCAATATAGCTTAATTTAAGACTTATTTATAAGCTATTAAATTCTTAGCTATTTTAAGCTTAATTGGAATTTTTAAGAATTATTTAAAAAACTATCTTTAAGGTGAAAAGTGGTCTGTTGGTTTCGCTTATCATGTACGTTATACAATAAGCGGACCAGACAGCATACTGTGCGGCTAAAAATAGCATACCCTATAGTGCTTATAGCCTGGAATAAAATAATCAGAAGAGAAAATAGCACCGCCATACACAAAGCAACTCGTTGTTATTTATAATAAAACAAGATAGAAAGCTTTATTATAACTAATACTTGTAATGCAGCAGGAGGTTTTTTTCTCTAGAGGTGTGTCTTAACTTATCTCCATAAAGCGGGCTGATCTGCTTATAATAACTCAATACTAATATCATTTGCGGGGTAGAGTATATTAGCTTATAATTAAGGAAATACATAGGAAGTAATAATTATCTATTTAATTCTCCTTGCTTCTATATTATAATTATCCTTTTATATTATTAAGCTTCTTTTAAATTGTTTACTTATATTTATTAGTGTATTATAAGTACTAATAAATACCTAATAGCTTTATACTTTTATTATTATATAATTAAATATCCACTACTAAGTCGTATGTAATTAGTTTATAATAAGGGTCTTTTATAGCTGTAGCCAGTTAAGTAAGCTGCTTTAGGGGTTTTAATAGAATTTCTATTAAAACCGAAAATGGCTATAGACTAAGACTATTGTCTATTTCCTCAAAGAAGGAGTAAACCCTATTACCACTTCAATGGCCCTAACACTCACTATACGGCAAATCCAAAATTCAAGTGTGTCTACTAATAGACGCCACCATACCAAGCATGGGGATTATAAGCAACAGTGCGACGATCAGACATACGCCACAAAGTCTATCAACCTCAATCCCTCTAGGAATACTACGTATCTCTATCTATTCTAGGTAAGACAGTGGTAGCACAGGTTGCAACTAATCCTACGATTCATATTATTTATACCCCACTCTTTGGCGACAAGATTAACATTAGATATTTTACTTTCATCTCTTGAAAGTACAAAGCTAAATGCCGTCAAAAGCATATCTCTACCTTTTATCTTATATGACACAGCAATCTCTCAAGAGACAATCGCCTATTACTTCATATCATAATACTATGAATCTGCCTTCGATATCCCTCCTCCTTCTGTGGTGCTTTTTAGGCTTGTCTACTGCACAGAACGATCCAATCAAAGATTTCTGCCGGAGATGGGGCCACCAGACGGCTGTAGTTGATCGAAAGCTGTATATTGATGGGGGTTTAATTAACTTCCAGCCATCAGCAGAAAATGCAAGCTGTAGGTACTTGTCCCTTGCTATAAATACGCCCGTATTAACTTAACTGCAGACACAAATCTTACATATAATGACCTTAGTTCGGTATCGGAGCATGGAATGCCACCATTCTATACCAACCTTTCGAAGAGCAATAGTATACCGAGCGTGCATGGCGGCATCCTGTGGGAGGACTCTGTGAATAAGCGGCTATACCTGTACGGCGGCGAATACTACAGAAAACCCCCTCCACCCTTCAGATTATACAGCTATGATATTCTCTACAACACCTGGAAGTCACTTCGTCGTCCCCCAGAAGAAATTAAAGCGGCTAGCTATGGAGCTGGCGTCTCAATTCCTGAAAGGGGAGAGGCATACTACTACGGTGGATGGCTAAGTAATGCATCCGTTAAAGGATGGAAAGGTCCACCGAGGGCCTCCAATGGATTAATAACATATTATATGGATATTAATCACCTCCAGAACCTTGAGGGACCAGACCATATTGGTAGAGCAGAAGGGGTAATGGTCTATATCCCAATCGGAGATCTTGGGGTACTAGTCTACTTTGGTGGTAGTAAGGACCTATATGGAAATGGAACCTTAACACCACAGCCCTTGAATGAAATCTTCTTGTTTGATATCGCGAACCAGATATGGTACACCCAGAAGACTTCCGGCAGCACTCCCCAGAACAGGAGGCGCTTCTGCGGCGGCGTGACCTGGGATAAAGATCGGTCTAGCTATAATATGTAAGCCCCTATGCGAGGATGCTTTCAAACATCCAACAAACTCGGCTGACTCTCCTCCAGCTATATCTATGGTGGCGCAGGCTTCCCTCCAGACACTATAGGCTACGACGATCTATATATCCTTACTCTCCCAACTTTCCAGTGGATACGGGGCCCCTACCTATCCTACAATAATGGCACTGGAACCTATCCCAAAAGTATGATGAGTTGCAATGTGGTCGATAATGCACAGATGCTCGTTATTGGTGGCACCTACTTGAATGCCACTGAAGACATATGCGATGTCCCTATCATCCAAGGAGTACACAATATTGACTTAGGCAAACAAAACCAGGACAACGTCATCTGGGCGGAGTATAATCCCGACTTAACTACCTATGTCGTACCCACTGATATCCTAAAGGCTGTGGTGGATTATGACGGTAGCGGAACGACTAAGACGGTGCCAGTCAGCGGATTTGACACTTTAGATGTGGCCGTCATAATGAAACGCACGGCGCGGTCGGTATCAAGAGCCGCGACGCGTCCAACTGACAGCACTGCCACCGCGACGCGCCCAGCTGGTAACAATACCCCAGCGTCTAAGCCTCCAATACACTCAAGCATACGATCACCATATCTAAGTGCAGGGAGTATAGCAGGCATTGCGGTAGGCTGTATCATGGTTCTAGTCCTCGCGCTGGTGGGATGTTTCTTTCTTACCTACCGCCGAAAGAAATACTATAACCATAATCAGGAGGCGACAGAGCCATCAATCCCTGCTGAGCTGGCGAGTGAGACTAGGCTGCCCTACAGAGATTGGAGGATAAGTCTCATTGGGAGTAAGTTCCGGAGCGTTAGCTCTCGGGATGCACCTGTTGAGCTGGCATGTGAGAGGGAGCAAGATCATGGACGCCAGAGCATTGCTCCCATAAGCGGCACAATTGAGAGTGGCTCTGGGGACGCACCTGTTGAGCTGGCATGTGAAAGGGAGCCAAAGCATGGAAGTGAGAGTATTGACCCTACCAGCAGTAGAACTAAGAGTGGCTCAGAGGCTGCCGCTGGTAATAACTAAAAAGATATCTTCTAGGATTTATCCAAAATACGGAGTCTATTACTATTTTATTAGATTATGTTTTCTAGTGTAATGGTTGTGGGTTTCAAACAGGGGAACTAGTCCATACTAGGTTTATGCTTGCAGATTGCATAGGGCATTATACTAAGTAAGTTAGTTATTATATCTCTTAATAATTAAGTAATATATATTAAGCTTATTAACATAAAGAAGTCGTATTAATACTTAGTAAGCTAAGTTCTATAAAAGTACTAATACATATTATTTATATATTAAAGATACTTATATAACTTAGTAAAGAATAAAAGTAATCTAAGGGTTAGATTTATAGGGATTAGTGGTAATTTATGGTAATCTATCTTAGATTATAGTAATCTAAGTAATCTAATAGAAGGGGATTATTATTAGAAGAAGTAGTCCTATTCCTGTATTCTCTTTGCAGTCTACCCAACCGATGTTGTTAGAATTTATCGCTTGCAGGGATCATTCTTCTCCTAATGAAAAATTTTAAATTATATACAGTTAGATAGGGACAACTTACAAAATGGGTAAAGTCTGGTAAATAGGTTACTATACTATATAAGAAATAAAACTCTAAATTGCACGAGTTAAACGCGTGCCCGCGTCGCGTGGTCAGTTATATGCTAACCTTGGAAAAGCCCTGACTCTAACCTTCAGTTCCTATCCATGCATATATACACATCACACACTGATAAATGTAAGTTAAACGAAGACAGGATACGATGGAGTCGCTCGATCTTATATACTTTCACTCCGCTTTTCGCATACCTATATGCAAGTCGTGCAAATCCGTATTCGCAACTTCCATCCGCAGCCATATCCGCACGTTCCACAAGGAGCTGGCCCTTTCGAAACAAGACCTTAAGAAGTACGAGGAATCCTTTCAGGGCCTATCTCCCATCTGTGACCGCAACGTTATCCGGAATCTACAGCCCAGCTCGCAAGACCCAGCAATCTCTCACCTCCCCCTTCATCTTGATAATATCCTGTGCCTCTGCTGCGGGGACCAGAAGCGACCGTATGTATGCCACTCTGAAACGCATATGCGAGAGCATCTTCAACTGGTCCATGATCGACAATCCCATCGCCGTGGCCAGCGTTATGAGAACGGCATCCTTGAAGCCTGGCAGAAGGAAGGAGTCGCGTGCGCACCAGTCGCTTGCCAGACGCTTTCCAAATCTTCGAGCAATAGACGTTATTTCCCAGTTCTAGCACCAGAATTAGAGCCCACATCGGTATCAGAGCCCACATTATCAGAGATCTCGCACGCGCCAGCCTCAACAGTGGACGGCTCCGGCGAACTGGACGCTGGAGCTTCCTCGGCATACTTGCAATCTTCCATCCCGCTAGAAACGCTCATAGAAGAGAAGCTCACCCAGGCTGCTCATCTAGCCGCGACCCCAGCTCAGCATACGCAAGATCAGTTGCAGCGTGAAGTCAGCCCCACATCAGAGCAATACAGGTGGATTCAGTTCACAGAATGGGGTCGGTATCTGGCGGAATATCCACTAGGAGCCGCCGCCCGTTTACATGATCTTCCATCGGGGGAGAGCTGGAATGGTAGTGATATGAGTGGGGACAGCCACCACGGCAATGAGCATAAGAGGCAGCGCCAAAGTGAATACGTTCTACAGCATCTTCTTACTGCACTGAAGCGTCTCGTGGAACGAGCAAGAAAAACCATGTCTGACGGCAGATTTAACGTCTTCGACCAGCATCGTCTCAACTCCTTCCTTCCACGCCGGACCTCAGGGAGGCCATTCTTCTACAAGCTTCAGGATAACACGTATAAGGAATATGCCAGAGTAGCACAGAAGCTCATTTGTTTCGTGTATCGAAGAGCATGGGCGGGGACTGGCCCAAGTCTACATCATTATCGAACTTCCCACTTTCAGTAAAAGAGGAAACCCTTATCAGTATCTAAGGCTGTGATTGGCTAGAGAGAGGGACTAAGATTGCAGTGAGGTAGAAAGCCTCTTTCAGTCCAAGCAGAGACCCCCTGTGGGGCTAGGGGAAGTACCGGCGGCAGTGAAAGAGGATTTCCTTGAAATAGGCGAGGGTAATTAGCAAGAAAAGACAGCCAGCAGCAGAAAAAGAAAGTTCAATAGGAGAGGAGATTTTTCTAAGAGAGAGATACCTAAGAAATAATAAAAGAAAATAGGAAAATAGCTAGGAAAAGTAAAAAATAAAAAGGGATAAAAAGAGATAAAAGATAAGAATAAAGAGATATGCTATATAAAGCAATAGAGCTAGCTGGCTAAAAACCCTTTATATTACCGATTAGTTTAGGCAGTTTCTAAAGCTCTTAGGGGAAAGAGAAAATAAATTTAGTCTATTAACGTTTTCTGTTTTAATGCAAACCCTGCCGAAGGCTTAAAAGCAGTCAGCTTAACCGGCT